TTTATCAAAAGCATTTCCATAGAAATGTATTCATTAAAAGACTCGGGATGTCATGTTCGTACAGATCAAAAGTATAAACAGTACAATATAAGCCTTACTACATTATTTCATATCTACAGGCCTATATCCGTAATCCCTCGTCCCAAAACATCACACCTATGCTCATGCGCCACTACCTGTAATGCATAAAACTGAGTGGGTCAGGCTTGGGAGGCCTGGTGAGCACATAGGGTTTTCAACCCACAATAAGTTTATTAATTTCATCAATCACAATAACCGATTACCCGTTCCCGTTATCCTCACTTTACGTCCCTAAACACCTATCATAAAGGGACCTAGCCTAAGGATCATCATCGGGACGGACACTACTGCTAAGGGGATTCCTCAGCAATAAATGTCCTAATAGGCAACCATGTGGGGGATGGAGTACACCGGTGAACACATCGTTTCACAACACCTACAGGTTGCGAACCTGCTAGTGTTCCACTGGACTGTCTAGAAGAGTCCGTGGTCGTCATCTATACTCCGCTAAGATGACTGGATCAACAACAACAACATCGAGGCCTCTCATCATTTTATCACACATCACCTATTACATCTACCCATGTTTTACCCCAACATTTTCGTAGATATAAAATACATATACAATTTAAATCATTGAAAACATGTATAACAACGTTCATCTAGCATAGATAGCAAGTATTCAGATAATATGCACACATAGCACGTAATTTATATAAAATACTTCATATCTATGTGTAAGTTGAAGGTAACTATGCACTCACCGGAAAAGGTGGTGATTCCGAACTCAGACAGCGCTTCGCTTCTTAAAAAGAATTTTTCTTCGACGAAACCTAGTATTATTACCACTAGAGTTTAGTTTATTATTCGTCGAGACTAATTAATAGTCTAGCTATTATTATTATTATATAAGCATCAAAAAAATACTTATATAACCCATAATAATAGCCCAAGTATTTATTATAAATTCCTAATAACGTTACTATAATTAAATAAAAGTTATATTAAAAATAGCGTAGGCGTAGCTCACTTACAGCGGGTTTTATAGAAAACCGGGCTTTGCTTGGAGCAGCGTTCCCGAGCCGAAAAGCTCTTCTTCTCAGAGCCTTCGAGCACTCCGAGGCTTCCGCCTCGTGCTAGGGAGGTTCCCTAGGCTTTTCGGGGGGATTTCGGGGCTAGAGAGAGGTTCTAAAGAGAGAGAGAGAGAGAGAGTAAAGAGAAGAAAGAATGGGAAAGGTGTGAAGAAAATGAGGGTGGGAGAGGTGGTATTTATAGGGTGAAATGTGGCTGAACTTGGTGCCACATGTCACCATCTGGTGGCAAGCCTTGGGGAGAAAGCAATGGCCAAGATTGTGCCACATCACCCATTTTCGCACAGCACACTTCCCGACTTCTAAAATCCGTAACTTTCACATACGACCTCCATTTTTGACGTTCTTTATATCCACGCGTAGGTAATAATAAGATCTACAACTTTCATTTTGACACCGTCAGCTATTCTCGACCGATCTTAAATTTAACAGTATACAAGGAGATTATACTGTTAAACGTCTGCGTAAATTAATAACTTCTACATACGGACTCTGTTTTTGTCTGTCTTTTTACCGTTGATTTCCTATTAATGAGATCTTCAACTCTCATTTATGTTGCGTAAGCCAAAAACCGCTCGAACTAAAATTCGAGTTTCAGGCCGTGCACTGCTAAGCCGAATCTTAGAAAAATCATAACTTCTTCATACGAAGTCAGATTTGGGCATTCTTTTTATCGATGTTCTTAGTTTAACATATTCTACGACTTTTGTTTAGATTGCTAAGGCTAAAAAGTCTTCTATCGTAAATTCACTATTTACGTTTCCCGGTGTCGTGCTGGTTTTGTCGTAAAACTTCGGCGGGCCATAACTTCTTCTTTATAGCTCGGATTTCGGCATTCTTTATATGCACGGAAACCTTGAGACATATTCTACAACTTTATGTAGAGATATCGGGATTATCTCACACTTTAATTTTGACGCTCATTTTTATTCTTTATTAATTATACATTTATAATTAAATAATAAACACATAAACACACATAATTCACATAATACTCAAATATTTCATATTTATTACTTCAAAAAGAGTTACAATAGTTGACCTAGACTATTACATTGACAAAAATGCTTAGCCCTGAAAACCCGGGCGTTACGCCCATATCAAGCATAGCATACATAGCACATACGAACGATTAACTTATCATATACAATGCATACAACTCATAACATATCCGACCTTCCAGTCACACAGTAAAACCCTTCCGGATACAGTATAGTGAGAAAACTCACCTCGTGGAAAGTCTAGAATCTCGCGTACTTGTTATCTCCAAATCCCAACGACGACCCTACCTCGCTTAATCATAAGAATATCATTTAATAATCAAAGACTTCCACAACTAACACTTTACCTTTATCATCATTCCTCAGAGGGTAAAAGACCATTTTACCCTTCCTTGACCTAAAGTCCTCATGTTGACCAAAACCCTAAAAGTCAACAAAAGTCAACCCTATGAGTAGGCGGGGCGTACTACTAGATGTACGCGGGGTGTACATCGCTAACCCATGGATCGGGGTCTCCACCCAGTACACTGCGCGTACTGGACGTTACGCCCAGCGTAACCATCAGATTCTAACACCTTTCATTTATGGTCTTAATCGGTTAAACCATTACTCCAACTTCTAGATCCGACTCTGTTAATGTGTCTAAACCCATAAAGTCGAGACCTTTAAGCCTTGGCATGGTTGTAAAGGCTCTAACACTTCTTAACATCATTCTATTCCAACTCAAGGACCTAGATCTCATGCATGGTGCAATATTCACATCCAAGATGTCATTTTTATGAGTCTAAAACTCCAATAGATTAGAAATATGAAGGATCTAAGCTTATGGAGGCCATTTGCACAAAAAGTCTCCACCTTTAGGACTAAAACCCTAGAAAATGGTACTTGAAGCATATAACATGAACCAACTGACAAGATCCAAACTTTTTACCTGATAATGAAGCTTTAACCCTTGCAAAGCTTAGATCTACACTTGAACACCACTTCTAGTCTTTCCAATGAGCTCTTCTTCTCCTTTGCAACCTTGGAATGGCACCACCAAGCTTAGAATACTCACAAAATCGCTTAAGGATGAATGCACACTCTTTTTAGGGTTTCTCTCTGAAGGATGGTGGCTGAGAAGTCCAGGCACACATTCCTTTTATAGCCCTCCAAAGGAATTAGGGTTTTTAGGTCTGGACCAGTTACGCCAAGCGTAACCTTGGGTACGCCCAACGTACCTGAGGGTGAACGCGTCCAAATGAGGCGCGAGAGTATGCGCAGTGTACACCTTGTACGCCCAACGTACTCGCTTATCATGAAAACCCTAAAATGACAACATAACCAAGATGCAGGGCCAAATAGAAGAATACCTGGATTTTGGGCTGTTACATATTTATAGGTTGACAAAAATGGAGTCGCTTGGATAAAAACCATTAAGGTTATGACACATAAGAAGTGTTGGACTGTACAAAAGTTAAGCAAATGTTACTTCGAACCTATGGTGTATACATTCTGAAACTAACAAACAATTGTAACATTATAATGAAGACTAAGATATTACATGTAAGCTTTCGCAAGAGACTCAGACACAACATATATAAAACTCCAAGACCTAAGACACCCTTGTCACTAAAGATGTTTGTCCCCTTTTGAGAGAATGTGTTCCTCGAGAAAAAGTCGATTGATTCCTCCTTACATTATTGTAAGTGATTTTTCAAAGTACATTACCATTGATGCCAACCTTAGGGATGTATTGTGGGTGGGCAAGATTATCATGGAAATATGGATTAATTTATTTCATGTATATTCAACATTGAAATGAATATAATGTTTTTTCCTTTGAATCAGTAAAGGGTTCATCAAGAATTGGGTAATGGTGTTTGGGTATATGGATTGTTTAAAATTTTACTTGATTGATATTAGATTTTGGGTTATTATTTATTTATGGTCAGAGAAATTTGATTATGATTTTGGGTTTTCGTTAATTTAGGGTTTAAGAACTTTGTATTAAAGAAATTTGAGTTTAATAAATTAAAATTTATTGATGATATTTGTTAATGCGTGTTAGAACTTTAGAACAACCGGTAGCATATTGTTGTAGTAGACAGTTGTGGTAGACGTTTATTAGCTTTGATTAGTGATCTTTGTTAATATGTTAGAAGTTTAGAGCAATTGGTAGCATATTGTGGTAGTAGACACTTGTGCTAGACGGTACGTGTATTCATGACTGTGTATGTAAATGTGTGTTCATGAGTCTGTATGTATACGTGTGTTTATAGAGAACAAAACTAGATGAATGGCAGGGCCGGTCCTGAAAAATGAAATATTCTTAAAGGTTCAGGACGAACAAGAAAAAAACGGCCCTTGTCTTTATTATAATTTTGTATTTTTAAATAAAAATATATAATAAAAAAATTAGATTTTGTGCAGCTGCCCACTTTGCCCTCCCTCTAAGCCCCCTATGATGAATGGTATGTAAGTGTTTGTTCATGAGTATGTATGTATGGGTTCATAAGTTTGTATATGTGTGTTTATAGACAACAAAAGTAGATGAATGGTGAAACGAGAGAGATACATATGATTTTTTTATTTTTTTTAGTTTTTTTGTCTTTTTTAGTCAAAAAAAAAAAAATAAACAGTATATAAAAAATGTATAACAAAATGAAAAGGACAAAATTATCCTTTTATATGGTATAAAATCAAACAAACAATAAAAATAAATTCTAGAAAAAAGAAGCACTTAGAGGCTTCAAATGTTGTCCTCAATATCTTAAATTTATTAAACCACAAGGGCCAATATAATAATTGTGTCCTAAAATAGTATATTGAAATAGTACATAGATGTCATGAAATTGTTGATGGGTATAAAGGTGCCATCAAATTATTGGCGGGAACCATGATCAATATGTCACACTGTGTGTAAAGCATTCCAAATGTAGTGTCTTCCCAATTTATACATCACTTTTTATCCCTATATATATGCCCCAAAATCACATGTTCGTCTATCCACATTTCCCTTATCCCACCATTACTTTCTTCCCCCAAATCTTTCAAACCTAAGATGAGATAGTGGCAATTTGTCGACAATTTCTTTTCGATTCCTGCAATAGAAAGAGGTAACTGTCATTTCTACTATTAACCTGCTTTGTAGTTTGATTTAACCTTGATATCGCTTTTAGGGTTCAACTAATTTTTGACCAAATTTGATCCAATTTCGTTAAACTTGTCAGCAAATTATGCTAAAAGTTATAGTGAAGAGTCTTATAATGAGTTTGACTTAAGAAATAAGCAACAATTTCGATTTCATAAATGGAAAATTTACCTTCTTTCTGATAAACTTGAAGCGAATCAATCCAATTAAGATTGGGGAAGATGGAAACAAGAACCACAAGCAACCAACAAGCAGAAAAAGATGAAAAAATGAGCAAAACGATGAAGAAATCTCTCCTTGCGATGAACTGCATCATGCTCGGCGTCGGAAACTGCGGTGGTCCGTTGGTTCAACGCCTCTACTTTGTTAAAGGCGGCAAAAGAGTTTGGACATCAAGCTGGCTACAAACCGCCGGTTGGCCATTTCTGATCATCCCTGTAATCGTTTCATTCATACACAAAACAAGAAACGGAAAAGAAGCTAAACTCATCTCTTTAAAACCATCTCTCTTCCTCCCTTGTGCTGTTCTTGGAGTTCTAACAGGTTTTGATGATTATTTGGCTGCTTATGGTGTTTCTCGATTACCTGTTTCTACTTCTGCGCTTATAATCGCTACCCAGTTGGCGTTTACTGCTGGATTTGCGTTTATTTTGGTGAAACAGAAGTTTTCTGCTTTTACGATTAATGCGATCTTTTTGCTGTCGATTGGTGCTGTGGTTCTTGCGCTTCATACTAGCTCAGATCGACCTGCGCATGAATCGAGTTTGATGTATTACGAGGGGTTTTTTATGACACTTGGAGCTTCGGCTTTATATGGGTTTATTTTACCTTCGATTGAGTTGACTATTAAGAAAGCTAAACAGCAGGTTACTTATTCTTTGGTTATGGAGATGCAGATCGTTATGTCGTTCTTTGCGACAGCTGTTTGTACTGTCGGAATGCTCATCAACCACGACTTCAAGGTAAAATGAAACATCCGAATTATATATATATTAATTACCAAAATTGGTTTGTGAGGAGTATCACTATTCATTTCAACTTCTATTTTTATCCGTGCATTATGCTTCGTGTCCTTTTCTTCGTTATGATGTTGCCACCATTTATATTTTTTTTTTTCTATTTCCAAATCTAAGTTTACTAAAACCAAATCATGTTATATATTGACAAGCATTTATTATTAAATGTAAAGCAATAGTTTTCTGAAAATAATCATTTAGGTTCTAGTCATAAAAGATTTTCATATTTATAATCTTTTCCCCTCAATTAATTTTTATTTAACAGTTTTCACCCCTCATAATTTTAAAGTTAAATTATTGGTATTTTATACATTACGATTTAATCCCCAATTATATTTTAAAGTTACACTTTGACCCCTTACATATTTTTTAATAATCTTTTTTTATCAATTTATTTATGATACAATTTGAAGTTTTATTTTTGTTCGCCTCCTCCGTACATAATTATTTGTATTCAAGTTTTATTTTTATATTTTTATGTTCCACTTTATATGGTTTAATCGTCTCTGCGGTATGTATGGTGTCGATCTGCATTTTTGAATATACTGGGACTTCCGCAGCATCGCGCGGACGGTCAAACCCTAGTTTTTGTGTATTTATGACAAAATTATACATATGGTTTTCTTGACAAAAAATATTATGTAAGTTTTTTAAAAAAAAAATTACTTGGTTGGTTATAGTTTAACACGTGCACGATGGGTCCTTATGGTTGGTAAGAAATGATTATGGTGTTTAAATTTGAAAATAACCAACCATTTTAAATATTGCTCAAAAGAAGCTATAGTGGTATTTCCACCAAGACCATTTGTTTAATTTTGTGATTATTTATTGATTTGAAAAAAAAATTATATATATATATATATATATATATATATATATATATATATATATATATATATATATATATATTGGTATTATATTTGATATTAAAATTAAAATTTAAAAAAATAAACAAAGGCATAGGGCTGGACAATAAAGGGAAATATGCAAAATAAAAAATCCATATATTTTGGTTCTACTCGACCAAAATGTCATCACCGAAATTTTTTATTTATATACGATTTTTTTTTTGTTGTTTTTTTTTTTTTTTTTTTTTTTTTTTTTGCAATTTAACTTTTGGAACTGGATGTTACTTGTAATTTGGCTTAATTTGCAGGTTACCGTAAACAATAACAAGTATCGATGGTTAAATTGTAAACAAAATATCAAGGATGTCTATTTTGTCATTAAGCCAAAATATAAGTAATTTTTTTTTTCAATGCATAATAATTTTTAACCTCAAGTCTTATCTATTTTAAGATTAAATTATAATCTATTTTTGCTAACACAATCATTACAATTTGTTTTATTTTTAATATATGATAATAAATAAATAGAGTTTTTTAATTACACTTCTATTTAATAAAATATAAATTTCGATTAAAATGTAAAAATATATTGTTATGAAATGTGTCGTTATTTTTTTTATGGAACTAAATCAAAATTTGATATGAAATATAGTTGCATACCAAATATTTGGTTGAAAATCTTCATGTTGGTTGGTATGTATCAACAACTCGATTAAAATGAAGATGATCTGCAAATGAATTCTTTTTGCTAGTTACATAAAAAAGTTATTAGACAATTATGAAATCATTATTGATATTGGTAACGATTATGAAAATTTAATAGAGAACGAAGATCATATGACATTTATTGTTTAGATTTTTAAAATCATAGACATATCAGTATCAACGTGGTATATTGATTTAGTTTCATTATCAAAATGTGAGATATACAATTCATAATAATATATTTTTACATTTTAATCGGCTTTTATATTTTATTAAATAGAAGTATAATTTATTTATTATTATATATTAAAAATCAAACAAATTGTAATGGTTGTTCCAACAAAAATATATTATAATTTAGCAGATGTTTCAAAAATAATCAATAAGTTAAGATTTCCAACTTTTCAAAACTTATTAGTATAACTTTTTGAGTTGTAAATGTCAAATCCACATTAAAATATGTATCAGTTAAAACAAAGACTTTTTAAAAAACAACCTATTCACTTATTGATTTTTTTTTCACCACAAAAGCCAATGCAAATATTTTTTTTTAAAAACTCATTTTCTCACCACCATAAACCAGTAAATCATTTTTTGAGGTTCAAATGAAATCTCAAATACCCTCTTATTTTTAAATATAAAGTAAAAGACTCGAGGTTAAAAATTATTATTATTATTATTATTATTATTATATATATATATATATATATATATATATATATATATATATATATATATATATATATATATTGTCATATTCACAAAAAAATCATCACTGATATTTTGTTTACAATGTAACCATGAAAACCTGTTTTTGTTTACATGTAACCTGAAATTGAATCAAATTGCATTAATGTTCTAATGGTTAAATTGCAAAATAAATAAATAAAGGGTGATTTTTTGTCTATAAAACCAAAATACAAGGACTTTTTAGCATATTTCCCGGACAATGAAAATACATTTTTAAATTATTTTAATTAATATAATCTTCAATAAAAAAAGTAGTATTTCTAAAAAAATATATACTCTAAGTAATTTTCTTTTGTTATTTTTTAATTATAATCTTATTATAAGATTCCATTATATTTAATTATATATAACTTTTTTTTTTATCAAAAATATTCTTAAACTTGGTAAATAAACTTTCTTTTACCAATTGAAGTACATACAATATATGTTCCAAATGACCATGTTATCTAATTTACTTAGTGATACTATATATCATACCGTTCAAAAAAGTGATACTATATTTATTTCATGACAATTCGTCTTTACAAAAGTAAATACACATAATTTATGTAGTGTTATATATTTATTCGATAAAAGTTACTTTTTACAAAAGCAACATTCACCTCCTTTATTTATCAACCATACAATAATTATATTCTTTTTGTCTTTCACTTCCATCATATCAAACCTACACTGTATCAACAACTCTGTAAACACTTGTTTTGATTCTTTTTAAGGCAATTCCACGAGAGGCGAGGAATTTTGACCTAGGAGAAGCAACATATTACGTGATTCTAGCAGTGAACGCGCTTCTTTGGCAATTCTTCTTTTTAGGAGCAATCGGAGTCATTTTTTGTGCCTCATCATTATTATCAGGAATCATAATTGCTACATTACTCCCTGTGACAGAATCTTTAGCTGTTCTTTTCTTCCATGAGAAATTTCAAGCTGAAAAAGGTCTTGCTCTTACGTTATCTCTATGGGGTTTTGTTTCCTACTTTTATGGAGAAATTCAACAAATGAAGAAGATGAAACGTGAACGAGATGTCGGCTTGCCAGCATGACATTAAGTGAATTTGTGTATAAATATGTATGTGGAAGTTTGTAGTTTTTCAAACATAAAGGAACTATAAACCCTTGATGTTTAATTGTGGTGGAATTATATTACTATTATGAATTGTCTATAAATATGTATGTGGAAGTTTGTAGCTTTTCAAGCATAAAGGAAGTATAAACCATTGATGTTTAATTGTGTTGGAATTAGATTACTATTATGAATTGTATATAAATATGAACTATAAACCATTGATGTTTAATTGTGGTGGAATTAGATTACTACTATGAATTGTCTATTAATATGTATGTGGAAGTTTGTAGCTTTTCAAACATAAAGGAACTATAAACCATTGATGTTTAATTGTGGTGGAATTAGATTACTATTAGTTCTATAAGTTAA